TTACTTTTCCACTGCCCTCACCGTAGGTATCCCCCTCTCTCTCCCTTTCTCGACGGCCAGCCCAGGGACGGGCCCTTCTCAGCAGGCTCGGACGCTCCCCGGCCTCCTGCTAAGGTTCCTAAGCCTTCCCCGAAGGCGCACAGCACCTCTCGGAAGGCCGGAGGCCTTCTGAGAAGTCCCGCCACCTTCTGGGAAGGCCTCCTCCTCCTCGTACGCGAGAACTTCGAGGAAGGGGAGGAGGAGGAGGAGGAGGAGGAGGAGGAGGAGGAGGAGGAGGAGGAGGGAGGAGGAGGGGGAGGGGGAGGGGGAGGAGGAGGAGGAGGAGGAGGAGGAGGAGGGAGGAGGGGAGGAGGAGGAGGAGGAGGAGGAGGAGGAGGAGGAGGAGGAGGAGGGCGAGAAGGCCTTCTCAGAAGGCCTCCTCCTCCTCCTCCTCGCTTCCCCCCTCGCTCGCCGCCGGTTCTCCCCCCATCGCTCCGCCCGCGCGCCCCCGTCGAGGCGGCTGGCTCCCCTGCGACGCCGCGGCCGCGGGCCAGCTCGAGGAGCTCTACGCGGAGCACCGGGCCAGCAGGGCCGGCCCCAACCCGGTGGCCACGCGGCTCCGCGGCCGCGAAGCAGACGGGCCCTCACCCAGACATCCTGCGATAGGACGACGGCGAGAGGGAGGAGGAGGAGGAGGAGCAGGAGGACGACGAGGACGACGACGACGAGGACGACGATGAGGACGGACGAGGACGAGAACGAGGACGACGAGGACGAGGAGAAGGAGGACGAAGACGAGGACGAGGACGAGGATGACGACGACGACGACGACGACGAGGACGAAGACGACGAGTGCGAGGACGAGGACGAGGACGAGGACGAGGACGAGGAGGAGGAGGAAGACAAGGGCGAGGGCGAGGGCGGGGATGAGGAAGACGGCGAGAGCGATGATAATGACGAGGACGAGGACGACGACGAGGACGACGAGACCGATAAGGATGATGAGGACGACGAGGACGACGACGACATCGACGACGAGGACGAGAACGAGGACGAGGACGTGGACGATGACAAACAGGAGGACGACGCGAACGACGACGACGAAGACGAGGAGGACGATGAGGACGACGACGGCGACGAGGACAAGGAGGACGATGACGACGATGACTACGACGAGGGGGACTCAGGACGGCGACGACGAGTACGAGGACGAGGAAAAGGGCGGGGACGACGACGATGAGCACGAGGTCGAGGACGAGGAGGACGACGACGACGAGGACGAGGACGAGGAGGACGATGAGGACGACGACGAGGACGAGGGCGAGAGCGAGATCGAGGACGAGGATGAGGACGACGACGAGGACAAGGACGAGGACGAGAACGAACACGACGAGGTCGAGGAAGAGGAGGTCGAAGACGAGGACGAGGATGACGACGAGGACGACGACGACGAGGACGAAGACGACGAGTGCGAGGACGAGGACGAGGACGAGGACGACAAGGAGGAGGATGAGGACAAGGGCGAGGGCGAGGGCGGGGATGAGGACGAAGACGACGAGGGCGATGAGGATGACGAGGACGACGACGACGAGGACGACGAGGACGATAAGGACGATAAGGACGATGAAGACGACGACGATGTCGACCACGAGGACGAGAACGAGGACGAGCGAGAAGGATGACGATGCGAACGACGACGACGACGTAAACGAGGAAGACGACGAGGACGACGACGGCTACAAGGACGAGGAGGACGATGAGGACGACGAGGACGATGAGGACGACGACCACGACGAGGAGGACTATGAGGACGACGACGAGGACAAGGACGAGGACGAGGACGACGACGACGACGACGAGGACGAGGACGATGAGGACGACGAGGACGACGAGGACGAGGACGAGGTCGAGAGCGAGGACGAGGACGAGGGCGAGGACGAGGACGATGGCGAGGGCGACGACGACCACGAGGACGCAGGCGACGAGGACGAGGACGAGGACGAGGACGACAGCGACGACCCCGAGGAGGAGGATGAGGAGGAGGACGAGGGCGAGGACGGAAACGACGAGGACGAAGACGGCGACGCCTACGACGAGGACGAGGACGAGGACGACGACGAGGAGAACTATGAGGACGATCAGGACGATGCGAACGACGACGACGACGACCACGACGAGGACGACGACGACGTGGACATGGAGGCGAACGACGACGAGAGAAGAATGAGGACGACGACGACGACGTGAGGACGATGAGAACCTGGACGCCGACGTTGACGAGAGGGAGGACGATGCGAATGACGACGACGACGAGGACAAGGACGACGACGACGACGAGGACGAGGATGTTGACAACGCCGACGACGACGAGGACGAGGACGACGACGAGGACGACGATGAGGACGACGACGACGATGACGAGGTCTATGGCGAGGACGACGACGAGGACGAGGACGGGGCGAGGACGACGACGAGGACGAGGACGAGGTCGACGACGACGACGAGGACGAGGACGAGGAAGAGAACAAGGACGAGTACGCGGCCGACATCGACGGCGACGAGGAGGACGAGGTCGAGGACGTGACAGGACGACGGCGAGGAGGAGGACGAGGACGACGGCGACGAGGACGACGACGACGACGCCGATGACGACGACAAGGACGAGGACGAGGACGAGAGGGCGACGATGACGAGGACGACAACGACAAGGGCGAGGACAAGGACGAGGACAAGGACGATGAAGACGATGAGGACGATGATGACGACGAGTACGGGGACGACACGGACGAGACCGAGCACGAGGGGGGACGACGACGAAGAGGAGGACGATGACGAGGACAACGACGATGAGGACGAAGACGACGAGAACGGCGACGACGAGGACGACGAGGACAAGGACGATGACGAGCACGAGGACTTGCACGAGATGACGACGGCGACGAGGAGGACGAGGGCGAGGGCGAGGACAACACGATGACGGCGACGAGGCCGAGGACGACAAGGGCGAGGACAAAGGCCGGGATGGGGGCGAGGACGAGGACGAGGACAAAGGCGGGGACGGGTCGACGACGACGACGAGGACGAAGACGACGAGGACGAAGACGACGAGGACGAGGACGACGACGGCGACGAGGACGATGAGGACGATGCAGACGATGAGGACGACGCCGACGACGACAACGACGAGGACGAGAACGAGGACAGGATCGAGGACGAACGAGGACGACGACGACGACGCGAAAGAAGACGATGAGAACGACGACGAGGACGACAACGAGAACGAGGACGACGACGACGACGGCGGCGAGGACGTGGCGGATGGCGAGGACGACAGCGACGGCGACGACGACGAGGACGAGGACGACGACGTGGAGGACGATGAGGACGACGACGAGGAGGACGACGACGACGACGAGGACGATGACGAGGACGACGACGACGAGCAGAATGACGAGGACGATGACGACGACGCCATTGAGGAGGAGGAGGACGAGGTCGAGATTGGGAACGAGGACGGGGACAACTCCGAGGACGAAGCAAGGCCGGTGAGGACGACGACGAGGAGGAGAACGAGGGCGCGGAGGTTGACGAGGACGAGGCCGACGACGACGAGGACGAAGACAACCGGGATGAGGAGGATGGCCAGGACGATGACGACGACGAGGAGGACGATGAGGACGATGCGGATGATGAGGACGGCTGCGACGACGACGATGACGAGGACAATGGCGACGAGGACGACGACGAGGACAAGGACGATGGCGAGAACGAGGACGATGACGACGAGAAGGAGGAGGAGGCTGCGGGCGAGAACGAGGAGGAGGACGATGACGACGACGTCGAGGACGAAGACGACGAGGGCGAGGATGACGAGGAAGACGACGAGGAGAAGGACAAGCTCGAGAACGAGGGCGAGGACTGCGACAGCGAAGAAGAGGAGGAGGACGAAGGCGATGACGAGGTCGAGGACGAGGACGATGACGACGAGGACGAAGACGACGAGGGCGAGGACGACGACGATGAGGAGGACGAGGACGATGACGAGGACGGGGGCGACGACGAGGATGATGACGAAGACGACGAGGGCAAGGACGAAGACGAGGACGAAGACGATGGATATGAACATGTTCGGGCCCCCGGGGGGCCGAAATATATCCATATCCACCGCCCGCTGGGGCACCAGGACGTCGGTTCCCAGACGGTGGATGTGGATAAATCCCCGCCTGGCATCGGGCTTCTCCGGGCCCCTCCCTGGGCCCTGGGACCGTCAAGCAACGGCCCCGGAGCCGACGAGGTGGCCCTGGGGAAGGGCTCCAGGGCAGGACCCCACTCCATCGGGCGCCGCTCCTGTCGAGCCCATGAGGTTCGTCGCCGCCGGCGACTTCGACTACCAGGTCGACTTTGACACGCTCACGCAGCGGAACGTCTCGACCAACGGGGCCCGGCAGATCCGCCGGGTCCTGGACACCTCCGAAGCCACACCGCGCTTCTGCCGGGGCGCTGCTCCCAGGGGCCCTCCGACGGAGACCCTGCCAACACGAGGCGATGGCAGCGCTGCGTGCGACCGGCAGGGGAGCTCCCGCAAGGAGAGCTTTTTGTTGAGCCGTCCCGACATCATCCCAGACCTCCCCGCGTCGCGACAAAACAGCAGGACGGAACGGGGCTCTTGGGGCATTTCCGGGCGCAGGGCGTGGCCCTTGCTGGGCCCATGGGGCTGTCAAGAACGACCCGCGGGGTGGGAAGCTGGCCCCTGGGGAAGGGGTCGAGAGTCTCGACCCATTTTCTGGGGGCCACCTGTCTAATGCTGTGTTTGTTCCAGCGCATTCGAGGGGCGCGCGGGTACTCAGACCCTGCTGCGGGGCGCCGCCGCGGCGAAACCCGGACCCCTCGGGGACGTGGTCATCCCCGCAGAGAGCCCCGTTGCATTGTGCTTGAGACCTGTACAGGCGAAATCCTGGGTATCCGCGCAAGAGGACGAGCCCAGTTTTCATCCCTCGGCGATAACGGGCGTGACCGGGGTTACGATTCGCGCCGGCGCCGTCTGGGAGTTTTCAGGAATGGCCAATTCCCCGACATCGCCTGCGCGAATCGTGACGTGATCAAGGGGGTGAGGCAGGAGGGGGTAGCGGGGCCAGTCGCAGGCGCTACCGCGAATACTAAGAGATGGGTTCTTGGGAAGTCCGCTTGGCCTGGCCCGCAGCCCCAGCCCCCTCCCTCCGCACACCCGCCACAACTTCTGCCGCCCCGGCAGCGAGACGACATGGCGCTGACACCGCGTGCGCAGCCACGCACTCCGTCCCGCTGCCATCTGTCCCCTCTGGGGGAGGGGAGAGGGAGAAAGGACCCAGATCTCTGAGCATCTGATTTTTTCAATTCCCGAGTTGTTCCTTGGATCTCGTCCTCCAGGGCTCGCTATCGCGCCCTGAGGCCACCCGAAACGGGCTTGGATTGGGGCGTAAAACCAGCCCAGGGAAAGGAGTCGGGAGTTCATGGGCAGCGGACTGAAGAGAACATATCAGAGGATGTCTGGGGAGGTTTGCCAACGGAAGGTAGCGGGCAAGAGGGAGGGAAGCACACCCCTTGTCTCACAGCGGCGCCGTGTGCGAGCTATGACTGCTGCGCGGATGGTCGTCTGCAGTCTGTGCGATTACATACTCTATGCTTGGTTGCTTACTGTTGAGAGGGCGCTCCTCATACCTCTCTGTCCTTTTTTTGTTTCTCTCTCTCTCTCTCTCTTTCCCCCCTCTTCGTCCCTTCCTGCTGCCTACCGCCACCTCCAACGGATCCCGTACCTCTTCTACCTGCTCGATACCCCGACCTCCTCTATCCTCAAACCCCCGCTCCCAGTCATCGCTCCTCCCTTTTCCCCTCCATTTTCCCCTCCTCCTTGCAAAGCCCGTGTCCGAATCGTCTGGGTAAGTCAAACGGAAGCGCTCTCAAGGGGCCCAGTTCGCTCGGCGACATGGTTGCACTTGTGCGCGCTGGGGAGGTGCAGAGGCTGCCGGCAGCTGCACTGCGAGAATGGCTGCGGAAGCACAACATCTCTGCGACGGGTCACAAGGGCGACCTCATGGACCTGGGCATCAAACCACGTTTGTTCATCAGTTCTTCCTGCCCGCCTCTCTCTCGCTCTCTCTATTTCTCCTTCCTCCCCCCCTTCCCCTCCCCACCGCCTTCCCCTTCCTAGCCAAACCGTTTCCAGCAGCGCTGGGCACCACGCTGTGCGCACCCACCGTAACTCCAACATAAGCAGACGACGATAGTTAGGATGATGATGATGATGATGATGATGATGATGATGATGATGATCATGATGATGATGATGATGATGATGATGATGATGATGATGATGATGATGATGATGATGATGATGATGATGATGACGATAATGAGGAGGAGGAGAAACAGGAGGAGACGCCAGTAGCAGAGAACGCAGGAACATGCGCATGTTCCTGAACCCCGTCCGACCCCGAGTCTAGGGCGTTTCCTCTTCCGACCCCCTTCTTCCCCCTCGAGGATGGCTGATCATTGCTTCTAATGAACACCCGCTCCCCCACTCCACTGGCCCCCAACCAGGGTCAGTGGCGCCCCCCACCATCCCCGACCAAAACATAGTACGCAGTGTATCTTGCTGCAACATATGCATCATGCTCGGGCGCCCCGCTATTACTTTGTATGCACGTTTGCAGGGTTGCCAAGGGGGAGGCGGGAGGCTATCGTACTGCACCGCGTGTGCAGGCCCACCATCCTTGTAAGAAGCGGTGCGAAGTACGGAATACGTTTCGGCAACTTCTTGGACCACGTGCGACGCACCTCGCGGGCGTCGCGCACTTGCCTGGCACATGCGCTGGTTCCCGACAGTTGCCGATGGCGGCCCCTGCCCATGCTTAGAGTCGGGTCCTACTTCTGTGGCGGGACGGCGGGTGGGAGTGAGCGAGACAGCCGTCCTTGGGGGATCTCTTGGCCCGTCCCCACTCTCCCAGGGTGGACCGGGGGTGGCGGCGCGGGGGGGTAGAGCGCCCAGGATGGCTTTGCTCCGAGATACTCCAACAAAGTGCGAGATGGCCTCCAAGGCGGCTCACGGTATGTCAAGACGGATCTAGGTGGTCTCAAGGATGCCTCCAAGAGTCCCGAAGACCCCTCCAAGATGGCTCCAAGTGGCCACGGAGCCTCCCAAGTTTGCCCTTGAGAGGCAAATCCTTCCAATACAGGAGGAAATCAAATAATGTATGCCTTCTGTTGTTCGCTTGCAACAGGAATTCGAGGCTTCAAGATGGCCCCAAGATGGCCCAAGAGCGCCCCAGAAGAGTCCGAAGACGGCCCCCAAGGGCGCCCATGAGCGCCCCAAGAGCGCCCCAGAAAAGTCCCAAGAGGGCCTGAAGAGGCAATCTTTTGAGCTCTAAGAGGGCGAGGCTACTAGGGGGCACTCCTTCTTTGATCGATGTCCTCGAAGATGGCCCCAAGAGAGTCTCGAGGCCCCCAAGAGGGCCCCAAGAGAGCGCGAAGGCTTCCAAAGTGGTCGCAGCTGGGCACCAAGATGGGCCAAGGAAGCTGTCGAGAGGCCCCGGTACAGTATCAAGAGATCAGGGAAGGCATTGATGATTGATTTCTGGGCCTGCTCTGGCTGTGATCCCGGTCTTTTGTTTGACGGCTGCCCCCCTGCATTGTTCAATTGTTTGTTCTTGCGCTTCTCTGACTGATCGCTGCAACTCGCCTGGGAATCGTTTCTGGACGTATTGGTGTGGATACTTTTTTGGTTCGCGGCTCCAAGGCAATTGTCAGGGAGCGGACGCAGCGTCCGGGATGCGGCACGGAGCGCACTGGTGTGGATACGTATGTATGCATGTATGCATGTATGTCTGTCTGTCTGTCTGCCTGCCTGCCTGCCTGTCTGTCTGCATGCAGGCATGCTTTCATGTATGTGTGTGTATGTATGTATGTATGTATGTATGCATGTATGTATGTATGTATGTATGTATGTATGTATGTACGTTCGTACTTATGTGTGTATGTATGTATGTATGTATGTATGTATGTATGCATGCATGCATGCATGCATGCATACATGCATGCATGTATGTATGTACGTACGTATGTATGTATGTATGTATGTATGTATGTATGTATGTATGTATGTATGTGTATATGTACGTATGTAAAGGTGTGTCCGTGTGTGTGTGTGTGTGTGTATGTAGTTATGCATGCGTGTGTGTATGTATGCATGTATGTATGTATGCACGTACGTATGTATAGATGTATGTATGTATGCATGCATGCATGTATGTATGTATGTATGTATATATATATGTATGTATGAATGTATGTATGTATGTATGTATGTATGTATGTATGTATGCAAAGGTGTGTGTATGGGTGTAGTTATGCAGTTATGTATGTATGTGTGTATGAGTGTACGTATGTACATATGTATGTATGCATGTAATGCAAGGTATGTATATATGTATGTATGCATGCATATATGCATGGATGTATGCATGTATGTATATACGTATGTATGTTTGTATGTTTGTATGAATGTATGAATGTATGCGTGCATGCATGCATGCATGCATGCATGCATGTATGTATGTATGTATGTATGTAGGTAGGTAGGTATGTATGTATGTATGTATGTATGTATGTATGTGTGCATGTCTGTATGTGTGTAGGCAGGTAGGTCGATTGGTCGGTAGGTAGGCATCTATGCATGTATGTATGTATGTATGTGTGCATGCATGCATGCATGTGTATAACAGATTTATACATAATCGATCTAGTGCCTGTGATATTCCAATGTTCTGTAACCCGTGTGTTATCGCGCACGCGTCATCTGAAACAGTCACGGCGCGACGTGACAGCGCAACATTTTGCCCTCCCACTCGGTAAATCCCTGGAGCGCTCAGCCGGAGGACCGCGTCCGCAGCCTCGTCTGGTAGGGAGGCTGCACCCGCCTCTTGACGCAGAGGCTGCGCCGGAGCCTTCGGCGCAGGAGCTTCCTTGAGCTCGGCCCCTGCCTCGCCCTGTTCTAGCTGCGCGGCCGCCACTCCCATCTCGATCCACTCGTGTGCACTGCGCTGTTTTGTTGTCAGCAGCAGGAGGGAGGGACCAGGGTGGGGGAGCGGGTTCGAGGGGAGGGGCGGATGAGAGTCGAGGTGGGAGGGCAGGATAAGGGAGGGGGCAGAATGGAGGGAGGAGGAGGAGGAGGAGGAGGAGGAGGAGGAACGTAGAGGAACGAGGGAGCTCGTCCTCTCGCCCCGTCTGCCCCTCCTCCAGCCCATGTCCAAGCCTCCCACTTGGGGCCCAGAGCAGGTGGGGTCGGAGGGCCTCGCCGCCTCGCCGATGCATCGGCGATGCGGCGCGATCGGGAGCCCGTTCTCAGCCACGCCAGCGTCGCCGACGCGTCGGGGATGCGGCGCGAGCCTCCGACCCCTCCCTCCCTGGCCCGCCTACAGGAGGCCACCACCATCGTCCCGGGGCGTCCGGCAGGGGGGTGGATGGTGTGGCTGGGGCCAGGGTGTCTCCCACTCTCACGGCCTCCTCCTCCCCCTCCTCCTCCCCATGTCTTCTTCTCCTTCTACTACTTCTTCTGGTTCTTCTTTCAGCGCGTCCCCTGGCCCACCCTTGGCCTCTCCACATGCCTCGGGCCATGATGCGCTACAACCTCCCTCCTCTTAGGATGCAGCTCCTGGGAGGCAACATTCAGCATCGGCGCTGGTGCATCCATGGTCGAAAACTGGTCTAATCTGGCATCGTCCTCGCTGAGTCAGGCTTAATTCTGGGCCAATCCTGGGCCGAACCTGGCTCAATCCTGCTTCATGGCCTCTCGGTCGTGCCGCCGTAGTCGTTCTGGCGATGAAGTCCCACTAGTTGCCTCCTAACTTCTCGGCGCGCCCGGACCGCCATGCCCTCCTGCCGCACCTCACGCGCTCGCCCTCCTTGGGCGGAGCCTAGGGCTGCGTGTGCACAACACGCGAGCCTGCTACCGTGCCGCCGGGCCTGAGGCCAGAAAAGACGGGTGGGGCAGAGAGCGGGGCTCCTCCTCCTCCGTCTCGTTTTCTCCTTCCGCGCCCTCCTCACTACCAGACCCCTCCTTTTTCTCCTCGCTCATCATTTTCTATTCCTCATACTCCCTCCTCCTCGTCGTCCTCCTCTTCCCCCTCCCCCTTTTGTTCTCCACCCTTTAACCTTCCTCCTTCATCCTCCTCCCTATCCCTCCTCCTGCTCTCATCCTCTCCCTCTCCCCTCTGTCACCCTCTGTTCCTCTCCCTTGTCCCTCTACCCCTCCTTTACCTCGCTTCTTTACTGCACTCTCGATCTCGCACTCTAGTTGTCCGATGCCTTTTCCTTCGTTTTCTGTTTCTGCTTCTCCTCATTCACCTCTTTGTCTCTGCCCATTTGCTTTTATCCCCCTTCCTCTCCTTCCCCTTCCCCCCTCCCAGCTCCCCTCTGCCCCCCCCCCCGACTTTCCACTCTTCCCCCTCTCCACTTGTATCTCAGCATGCAATCCATGAATCACGATTCCAGTGCCTGCGTCCGTCAACACGTTTGCCTCAAAGCCAACGAGACCTTTCCAAGGGTACAGCTAGTGCGAGTCGCATTATGTTTGTTTCTGCTACCACTATCTTATTTGTGTTGATCTGCCGATGTGCGTTACGAGAGCTGAGTTTTTCGTTGTCTGTTTCACTGATTAAAAACTCCATGTAATATCTCCTGGGTTTATTTGGCTTGGGTGTGTCCTATTGCTCGGTCAGGCGCTGGCACAGTACATTAGAAACGATTGCCAGTACGTCAGGTGTGGTTATGTTTGCTCGGCTCTGTTAATCGTGAGTGCGTCCAACTGCCCAGCTGTGTTGCAGACAATCGCATCATGCTGCGGTCTTCAATTCACCTCGCTTCGTACATCGAGTCGAGTGTCGTAGAAATTCTCTTATTGTTCCAGAGCTGCGGATTGTTACAAGTAATCAGCCCACGGCTTACGGGGTGTCGCCGAGCTCGTCTCGGACATCACATGCACTTTACAAGCTCTTGATTATAGTTCTATGTGTCAAGCTGGCCTCAACGTTTCTTCAGCAGAGTTAACGGATTTGGAGGAGGAGGAGGAGGAAGAGGAAGAGGCACGAGGGAGGAAGGAGGGAGGGAGGGAGGAAGGAGGGGGTGGAGGAAACGAGCGATACAGAGAAACGCTGGGAGAGAGGGAGGGAGGCAGGAGAGGTGGATGGATAGAGGGAGGGAGGAGGACTTGAGGTAATCAGTATGTCTTTTGGGCGCATTGACCTCGTTAGTGGCCCCAGCTTCCTGGAGTTACCATCCTGTAGGGCACGATGGCCCGACGTAGCATCTGGCCTATGGCCATCTGGATCCAGGCCGCACGGGCTGGGCCAACGAAGCCTGGGCGCCGTGGCACAGGCACTGTGGCTCCAGCGCGGGAATGCATCTTGGCACCGTCCAAGGCCGCGTAAACTCATTGGCACCATTCTTGGCATCACAGCCCTTCTGCAGTTCGGGGAGATCCACCTGTCTCTTTTATACATGTTCCTTCCTCCCTTACCTGTCCCCTTCAACGTTGCTGTATTTTCGGCGACACAGGACCACATACGTACCTGCAACATGGGCAGCCCTGGACGAGATGCTTCGCCGCTTGTCCTTGTGTTGGGACGCTGCTGACGCCTGGGGGGTACTCGGGCTGCTCACCATGGATGGGGCCTGCCCCGACGGTCGTAGACTTGGACCGCCGTCTTTTTAGGGCCAAGACGCTCCTCGCCATCACAGGCCGGACTGGCTGGGCGGAGGGCGACGTGGAGCGCGCCCAGCACGCCGAGGATTGCTTTGCACGAGCTCATGGGGAACTCCTGCAGCAGCTGCCTGCGTTGCAAGCCCGTCGTAGGCGCGCCAAGGGCGCACCCCTGGACAAGTGGAAGGAGCTGGGCAGCGTGGACCTGGAGTTCGTCATCAATACGCCAGCCTCGACATCGGAGGCCACTGCGACACAGCTTTCTGACATCATGGAGCTCCCGCAAGCGGTTCGTCAGCACGGGCGTCTTCTCAGCCCAGATGCGGCCTGGGAGTGGCAGACCCGCTTGGACGCGGGTGCCCTCACGCCGGAAAACCTGCAGATGTGGCTCCCGCAGGGGGGCCTTGTTGCGTGGGCTCCGACCTCCTCGCCTGCACTGGGTCGTTTGCGGGACGCTCTGATGAAGGTCCCGGCGGCTGTATTTGAAGCTCGTCCCTTACGACTCTTGGTGCCCATGGATGTGCTGCCAGGCTGCACGACGACCTCGGCAATTAGAGATTTATGCTGGCACCCATCTCTTGGAGACAGGTGGGCGCCGCTGGTCTGGGAGCAGGGCTTCGTGACGCAGGCGCTGCCGATGATGACCACGAGCAGCGCCAGCCCTCAGCACGTCTCTCGTGGTCTGCTGATCGCCACGGTCTCGACGCACACTCAGCACCAATTTCCACGTGTTCTTTCGGTCGCCATGCCGCTGGTGCAGGTACGGGCCGGTCCTGCGATCTACGTCGACTGCCCCCCGGCGCACCTGGCGGTGGTCTTCCAGCAGGTTTTGGCTTTGGGCGTAATGCTGAACATCCGAATGGGCCGCAGCACTCGCAGCCCAGGTTCGGTCGCCGACGCTCCGCGTACCCGCACCGAGTTCCACATGCCGCCGCAGGTGACCGACTTCAGCGTTCAGATGCTCCTCGTCGGTCTTCGACGCCAGCCTTGGCCGGTGCCGGTGTTTTTCGCCTCCCGCTCTATCTTTGCGGACCCTGCAGCGCCACTCCTGGAGATGACGGGCCCGGCAGCCCTTTCCAAGGCCAACCGCGTCTGCCGGGAGGCCCTTTCCTAGGACCGAAGTTGGCGACACCCCGCACGGACTCCGGCCCCGAAGATTGGCAGCAGCTCCTCGACGACATCTGGGCGGATGATCCGGAGGCGGCGGTCACGAGGCTGCGGTGGCGACCATCCCGCCTGGGCGGAAGGAAGTTGGCAGAGCCAGCAGCTGTTCGAGAACGGGTCCGCGCAGCCTTGCAGCCAGCCGCGGCACGACTGGAAAACCCAGGAGGCGGTCCTTGCTCGGCTGAGCTCGCGGCGGAGGGCTCCTTGGGCTACGACCCTCAGGCGGCGGTCTCGGCCATCATGCGCGTGGTCAGGGAGCAGACCGGGGTCGAGCTGACGGCGGCGGCGTCGGCGGCCCAGCTCCTGCCGGGGTCCTGGCGGCGAATCGCGGCGGACGATCCCAATGCCGACCCAGGACGGGCCCGCCTCTATTAGGGGGCCAGATGCGAACCCTAATTACCCCTACCCCCCACGATTTCTGAGGGGGAGGATGGGGTTCACTTCGTTCGGGAGCTCCCGAGCGAAGTGAACCCCACCCTCCCCCTCAAAAATCGTGGGGGGTAGGGGTAGGGTTCACATCTGGCCCCCTATCTATTTCAAGAGGGTGGCCGATGGGGCGGCAGTGAAGGCGGCGATCCACGGCAGAGCAGTCCAGGTAGGCGACGACCTCGTCTCGCTGCGGGTCGAGACCATTGCCGCCACTGCTCGTCCGTCCAATCGGCCGGGGGGGGGGCCGCCCGGATGCCGGGCCCCCCCCTCAGTGAGCCAGCGGTTGGATGTGCTGGGACCTCACCCTCCCTGGCACACGATGCAGATCGGGCGGATGCAAGTTTAATTGAAGTTATTGCTTCGAATGGCGCCTTTGGATTCGTCATCGATTTGCGACTGTTTTTCCGACGTGGCTATCTCTCGCGACTGCTTCATCTCGACGTGCCTCTTCAGATGCAGCCCGCCGAGATTCCTCGCCCACTCCCACCTCCTTGCAGCCAGCGCCCGGAGGCGGCAGTCCAGCAGTGGGGTCGATGCCCGGCCCTCCCCCCGGCAGCCAGCGCTCCGTGGCTCCCTCGGCCTCGCCAGCGGCCGCCGCCGCCACGCGCGGACGTTCCGGAGATCGTCGGACCCCCGCCAGCCGCAGCGGACCCGCAACACACTCGATGTCCATTCTTGGGTGACCTCCAGGGCGCGAGTTAGAATTCCCAAGCCCCCTTTGCGCGTAAGCGGCTGCGGCATGAGCAGAAGGGCGCCTACGTCCGCCGTCTCTTGCGAAACCGGGACTTCGCGGCCATCGTGGACTCGCACGGGCTCGAGGGCGCCACGGCGGTGTGGATCTGTCCCGACGATTGTGCTTCTTATTTCTCGCCTGGGACTACCAGCCGCGCTGGCGTTGGCATCGTGGTGAAGAAGAAATTCCTCGAGCATTTTGCTGACATTGAGGCTCGCTGGATCCACCTTATTCCTGGGAGGCCGCTGTGCTACAGCTGCGCGGCCGTGCTGGAGCCCTTGACCTACACGTGGTTTATTTAGCTTTGCGACTGGTGTCCCAGGCATGGCGCAGCCGCGCGGCATGGCAGTGCCTGGAGACGTGAACGCAACTGTCTGGGAACAACGGCGCAGCATGCGGCAAGTCATGGCAGCAGCAATGTCCCCGAAGGAGGAAGTCCTGTCCATGGTCATGGGCGATTTCAATTGGGTCACTTGTGACGTGGACAGGGTCACAAAGACGACTGGTGGATCCTCAGGCGCAGACGATCTCGGAGAACAGCGGGACGCCGATGCGTTTTTTTTGGGGGCGGCCGGCGGGCCTCTGCGAGCTCCGCCATACTGAGCTCGCGCACGAAAGCGCCTCCGCGTGGAGCTGGTTAGACCGGCGCTACTGGAGCGCCGACGTCGCGGGCCAGCTCGACAGGAACATCGGGTGCACAGTTCTCGAGCGGGTGCCCCACCTCTCGGCCCGCCGCGCCAGCGCCTTCGGTCGTCGCACGCCGGCTCGACGCGAGCCAGCGGCCATGCCAGTCCAGCCTGATACTCCAGATTTCGTAATAAAAGGGAGGGGGTCTAGATCCTCCAAGACAAGCCATTTCAGACCTCCCCCGTGGGAGAACCCTCCAAAACATCGTCCCCAGACCCCCCAGGCCCTCCAAGATAGCTTGGAAGAGACCCCCCCCGAAATGAGACCCCCTCCCTTT